AACTTCCTGTGGCGACACAGTAAGTGTTAAAGGAGCACAGATTATATTTACCTTGCCTAAGGAAGTAGGCTATGCTGGATGCTTGATTTTTTTATTACTGTGGAGACATGGAAACCATCAAAGTTGGGTAACGTTTGCTCTGGTAGTAGGTAAGGCAGATACTCGAGCGGAGAAAACCTATGTGAAAGGTGCGAGAGGGTCACGCGGAAAACAGTTCTCTCCCAGCTGCCACGGTTTCTGATGAATGAGCTTTGCCAGGTACACGCCAGGCTTTTATTTGTTCTTAGTATTGTTCTCATGGTGAAACGCTATGTGGAGGTCTTTCCCAGGTTTTTGAAAGGAGAGACCAAAAAAGGAGTAAGCCAGGGTTTTGACTGAAGGATACCTTAGGAAAATATTAACAGCATAAGACTTGTACATCTATGAGTTAAGATTTTCTTTTGTTTGCTGCCCCCCCCCCGCGTCCACCACACATACACACACTATAGCTATTTATTAGGTAGGTGAAAGATTTCTTAGAATCTTCATCTGCAATTCCAACGATTGCTTTTGTTTTATAACAGTTATAATAAAAGAGAAATATTGCACAGACCTGTTTTCAGTAAGCTTCTGTTTCATTGGTTTAATGACTGCAGGAAAAATGGTGGGTTTTTTTTTTCTCCATTACTAGTAGGCTTAGAAGCAGCAAACTTGGCATGACTAAAAGTAATAATGATCTGAGTCATTTTGCTAACAAACTGTGAAATAACTTTGCATTTTAAAGACCTGGGTGGCTTTCTTCACCCTTGCCACCAACACAAATCTTTCTCAGTTAATACTCTCCGTAAGTTTTTACGTTAATAAGAAATAATGTATTTTGCCTAGGTCAGTGTATTTTTAGCGTATTGAGCATAGAAGAGACGCACCTTGATGTGGAAACATGTAGATATTCCTCTTAGGAAGTGGATGTGTTTGAGACAAACATGAAACAAAAGGAAGATTACAAAGTTCTTGGAGTTTCTGCACTCTTGCTCTGATGTATTCTTTTAGTGTATTTCGGTGTGACTCTAGTTTGAGCCAGCCATCCACCATGTTTAAAGCAACTGAAAAAAATGAGTCCTCTGGTGGTGTTTTAGGCTTTAATTAGATGTCTATTAGAGAGTGATGGACTAGGATAAAAGGTCAGAGGAGTTGGTTTTTGCTTATTTTGAGAAGAGATCAGTGTTTCTTAACTTTAGCACCATTGGCATTTGAGGCAGGATAATTCTTTGTTGTGCAGGCTGTCTTGTTCATCGTAGGATGTTTAGCATTATAGGGTGTTCTTTGGCCTTTACCCATTAGATGCCAGTAACAGCCCCCTCAGCCTTTGATCCTTGAAAAATGTCTCCAGATAGTCCCCAAAGTCCCCAACCTCCAATGAGAGCCTAGATTAACAGAGTTGAATGTATAATATAGAAGTCGAAGTTGTATCTCTACAACCAGCTATAGTGAGAGTTATGAGAAAAGTGTAGCAGAGTCATGATTTTCGGAAGAAACTGAGATTTTTGTTTTTCTATACCAGTAACATTAGAAAGATTTCAAAATGATTTTTTAAAAATCTTTAGGTAACTGAGTTCCTTCAGCTGTCTTTTCTAGCTTTGGTGTTTTGCTTTTCCCTACATCTCTCTCTGTAGAAATCTTCTAGCACCCCTGCCTTATTGGCCCAGCTGTCCCTCCCCTTCCTCCTTTAGGTCTTATTCCTACTCTACCCTTTTGCCGCAGGGTCCCGGCACTCTAGTTTCTATAAACAAAATGCTGGCTTATTTCATAAATGTTATTCTTGGAATGTTTCAAAACATTTTTCTTTCCCAATTTGTCTTTAGCAGTGAAGTTCTGACCTTTGGTTCGTTTTTGAATATTTAAAGTCATATGTGTAAGCAGCTCCATGAAATAATTCCATATAAAACAACTGAATCAACTAGAAATATAAAATGATTTCTAGGTAATCTATAACCACTGTCACTCCATTTATAAAAGGTCATCTTCTTCAATTATTTTGTTTTCTTTTTTTTCATCAAATGAATTTTTTCCATTTAAGACAAAAAGCCTCCAAAGATAAATAGTTCATTATATTGCATTTTTTCTTAAGGCATTTATGCATTGTGTTTTAGACATCTGGGTTGAGAGATTCAGGTATGAGATGAACATCATTAGTAAAAAAATTGGTACTGTCTGTTACAATTAAAACAATTTTTTTTTTTTTAATCAGACATATTTCACTGTCCTTATTAGGAGCAGTGAATCAGGCTTTAAAAAAGAGAGGACCTAATCTAATCATTGACCTAAAGAAAATTAGGACAGGGTTTGGGTGATTCAGGTCTTTAGGTTAGTTTTCAGGCATTGGTATTAGAATAATAATACTAAATAGTGGAACTTGTTTTTATAATCAAAGTTTTCTTTCCATCATAGATGGCTCATTGTCTCAGGGGAAACATTTTTTTGTTGTCATACCTTTGAGGAGGTTGCAATTTATCATTTTTTAAATGGCAGCATGATTAGGCTTTGCTGTTTTTTCAGTGAGACTATATTGTACATATGAGCACTTACTGAATATTATTTTATTATAATTTTCAAAGATGTAAAGGGTTATATTATATGAAAGTAAAATTTTCATTTACATAAGTTATTTTAGTCTAAAGGTGAGTTTTAATTCTTTACTCTGCCTCATTATTCTCTCCACTCATCCTCACAGACAAAAATCTACACCCTCTTTCTTTTGCTTGTTTTAAATATTATAGGTTGAGTGAAAATGAGGCGAGGGAATAAGATCTCTACTACTTAGTGAATTTTTTCCATTGCTACCAGCAAGCAGCTATTTGAGAAGCTACATCATTAATCTTTTTTGTTCCCTGTGAACTTGCTGTGTGACTTCCTTAGTTGAGAAATTCTGGCGTTGCAGGATTTTGGATTTTGCATTGCTTTCGCTATTTCTTTAGCATTGGCTCAGGATCCTAAGTGTCAGAAAACTCATTTCCTTGAATAAATGGACCTGATATTTCAACATGGGTTATGTGCTTCTCTCTCCTCACCTGCCTTAAGAACAGTTACTTTGATAGACACTGCAGGTGACATTAATGAGTGTTTTGAAAAGGCTGATTTTTCTGTATCTTACATTTTTCATTCTTAAAATTTATAGTTCAAGTTCTCTGATGTCTCTGGCAGCTTAATTCCAGAAGGCTTCTGGTCTTTTGCTTCTAGGCTGCTCTTCTATCATGCAGATTCCTGGCTCTGAAACTTTGTTGATTTCTCCATTGCCTGCGCAATAAAAACTTTCTTCTGGACCTTGCTTCCCTCTATCCTTGTGCTCTTTTCCTCAGGGCACCCTCCTCCTCCAGACAGGAACAGTGGGCATATGGTGAAGCATATTGCACTCTGGTTTCTAGTGTTGTTTAGGCTTGTGCCCTGTTTTGCTACTAGTGTGAGCACTTCAGGGGCAGAATCATTGTAAGTTGTACTTGTATCCATCCCTAACAACCTTTAACTTTTTCATGTGCTTAATTAGTTCCTAATTATCTTAATATCTTGTGTAGAATTAGGACTTCCCTAGAATACAAGCCACATACTTTGCCATTCTCAGTGTTAATGGGAATAAATGACTACCTAGCCAAACAGAGTAGACAAAAAAGGAATAATAACAGTATATGATGACCAAAATAAGCACATGGTATCTAAAAGCAGATTGTTTGGTTTAAGAATACTTTTCCACTTTTGTGAGAACTTTTCACAGTCCTTATATTATTTGGTAAAATAGAGAAAATGACAGCAAATATTCATTGGAGGAAGGTCTGCTATGTTGCAGTTGTAGTGTTCTTTCTTAATTTTTTTTTCTTTTTTCAAGATCTCATTTTCTAATCTTTATTACTGGCCTATTTTAACCATAAATAAAGACCATGAGTCTTGTTAAATTTGTCAGTGATAAGAAATACAATGTCTGTGTTAGAGAATTTAATAGAAGATATTAGGAAATATAATGCCTATCTTATAGAGTTAGTGGGAGATGTTATTGAAACCTGAGAAAGATTCCTATAATTTTTTAAACAAAAAGTGAACATCCAACCATAATCTTAATGTTTTTGTTATGCATGTGTTGGCCTTGGAAAGTTCAAGCTACCACACATTCCCATGGGAGGACCTGAATGTATTTGTTGCACTTCTAGGTCACGTATTTCTTGGTCACATGTTTTGGCATGCAGTTACCCAATGTGTGACTTCCCGTAGTGTGACATTGGTGAAGCTCAGATCCCAGATGGCATTTGAGCTGTATGAACTAAGGTCAACAGCACCTAATCTTGTAGTGCTGAGGCTGCCTCTGTCATGACTTGTTAAATACTAATTAAAAGCGTTAGCAGAGATAGCGCAAAATAATTTTAAAGTGAACGTTCATTGCCATAAACTTAGTGGTTTAAAACAATGTAAAATTATTAATTTTACATTCCTGGGGGTCAGAAATTCAGAATGGGTTTCACCAGGCTAGAATCAGGAGGTCAGCAGGGCTAATTTTCCTTTAGAGGTCCCAGTGGAGAATCCATTTATTTGTCTTTTCCAGCTTCCATCTAGAGGCTACCTGCTTTCATTGGCTCATGGGACCTTTTTTCATCTTCACAACCCCAGTGGCTGGTAGTCTTTCCATGTAGCATTGCTCTCGGAAGCCTCCTTTCACTTAAAGGATCCTGTGATTACATTGGCCCCACCTGGATAATTCAGGGAACAGCCTCATCTCAAGATCCTTGTCTTAACCACATCTACACAGTTTCTTTTGCCATGTAGGATGGCGTGTTCACAGGTGCCAGGGATTGGGATGTGGGCATCTTTGGGAGTTATTACTCCGCCTCCCATAGTCTTCCCTTTGGCTGCTGAAGATGCACGTGCATCTTGCCTGCAAAATGCATTTACCAAATTCCACCATCTGCCAAAGTCTCAACCCATTGCCCTATCAACACAATGTCCAAAATCTCATCCAAATCTCATAATCTAACTCAGGTATGGGTGAGATTCTCGGTGTAATTCATCCTGGGACAAAATTCCTCTCTACCTGTGATCCTGTACAGCTTGGAAACGTGTCATGTGCTCCTATAATACAGCAGTGGAGCAAGCACAGGGTATCAGTTATAGACAAACCTGTTCGAAAAGAAAGTGGAATGAAAAAAGGAGTCATCGGTCCCTTGAGCTTCTCAAACTACATTAGGTTTCAGAGCCTGGGAATAATCCTCTGTGATCCTGTTCCACCTTCTGGGAGCTGGACTCCGCCCTTCCTTTTTAATGAAAGGTAACACAGGTCTGCCGCTGAGTCATTTTATCAGCCCGTTTCTTGCCTGTGGAATTATTGTGACCTGACAGCATTCTTCCATTTCGGACTCCCTTAATTTATCTTTCTTCTTTCCTATTTTACTGTAACCACAAGAAAGAAAACAGCTTGCACCTTGAACAAAACCAGTTTACTTAGAAATCTCCTTATCTAAATATTCAAGTTTATAGCTTGTAAGTTCTGTTTTCCACATAACCACAGGACATAATTTGCTTAAGCTTTCTGCTGTGAGGTGACAGGGATCCCCTTTCTGCTCGTTTATAATAACATGTTCCTCCTTTCCATCCAAGTCCTCGCCAGCAGCACATTTAATGTCCATATGTCTATTAGCAGACTGTTCATGACAGTGAAAATATTTTCTGAGATCACGTATGTTTCCTCCAACATATACTTATGTAGGTGTTAAAATTTGTATTTCTACTGTGTCAGGCAATTTAGGCTTTTTCTGTCTTATTCCTCAGAATTTTAGCCTCTGCCCATTGCCTGATTCCAAAGCCATTTCTACAGTTTTAGTATTTTTTTGCAGCAGCACCCCACTTCTAGATATCCTTAACATCTCATGTATAACTTTGGGGCATACAGAATGATTGTAATTTTATTTTCTCAGTCCTTTGCAATTTATGTGACTATTATCATAACAGCAAAATCACCAGTTTCTAGTGCTCCATATGAACCCATGGTTAGTATTTCACTGCAGTAAGTTTTAAAGAATAAGACTTTTTTTTTTTTTTTTTTTTTGGTATGCCTCATCAGTGAAGTTTTTCTTGACCATCTAGTCTAAATTTATCTTCCTTCTCCTCCCTGCCTAATTACACCATTTTGAAATCATCTTGTGCATTTACTTTTTTTTATTGTCTGTTGTGCCTCTCTGTGGGATTGGTTTCCTCTGAGCATGAATCCCGTCTGACTTGTTTATCACCTAATAGTGCAGAGTAGTCCTTCCATAAATGTTGATTAAATGAATGACTGGTTACATTATTGAACATTAATTTTGACTAGTAATCTTTTAAAGTGAAAAAGTTGATATATTTTCTTGTGCATTGGGCAATTTAAAAAAATTTTTTTTTATATATTTTATTTTTGAGAGAGAGAGTGCAAGTGGGGGAAGGGCAGAGAGTGAGGGAGAGAAAGAATCTGAAGCAGGCTCTAGGCTCCTAGCTGTCAGCACAGAGCTTGATGCGGGGCTGGAACTCACAGACTGCGAGATTATGACCTGAGCTGAAGTCAGACACTTAACCAACTGAACCACCCAGGTGCCCCTGCATTGGGCAATTTTCGTGAGTTTGGGCCCAATGTATGCTCTTTTATTTTTTTAATATCTTGCTGGTTAGAGTAACTAAAACTTACTGCATTATTACTCACTTCTAAAACCTGGAATTAATTTGAGGTACCTAATTCTTGTTGCAGGATCATGAAAATATTATAACTCTTGGTAAATTAGGTGTAGAGTGAAATGTGATTTTTATATTTGTGTATTCTGGACAGTATTTTCAGCAGGATTGTTGCATTGCTGTTTCACATGTTATTCGAATACTTTCTTAAAATGCATGCAGTCATTCAACAAGGCATTAAATGTGTTCTCTGAGTCCTATCTACCACTGCAGGACAATGTGATTGTAACTTTGGCTTTCTGGAGCCAGCAGGGTGCTCAGAAATGGACCACAGTCTGTTCTTCATGTCTTGCCTGTCCTCATGTGGCAAGAATCATCATTGGTGACGTTTTGCAAAGTGCATTCTATATTTTTGGTGTTGAGTTATGCCTTGGGTTTACCAAATCCTTAAGAAAATTTACAGTCTAATTCTTCAGAATGGCAAATAGGGAAGAAAGAAATGGTATAATAATACTGGGGGGGTGAGCTTTAATGGGGTCTTCATTGTTGATGTTGTGGGATGCGGGGTGGAGGTCACATATCTGTCAGAAATTACTGTGGTTATAAATCTGTTCATTTCTATGCATTTCTGAGGTTATTTTTTAAAATCATGATTGGCTGTAAGCGGTTTATTGTATAGAAACCTGCATTCTGGAAGAGCCTTTGCTATCTATAAGTTTTCTTACATTCCCCCACATAGAAGGACTTCTGGTCTTCTGAGGTTTATTTAGCTCTGTGCAGAGACTTTCTACACGGGAAAAGGCAGTTGACCTAGGACTCTGGCAGTAAAATGTTCTCCTTGAGATCTTGGACATGTTATCCCAATTCTTTAAGGTTTAGTTTTCTTTTCCATAAATTCCAGATGATAAATGTATCTACCTCATAGGGGTTGAGGGCACAATAAACTAAAGCATCCAGAGTTCTCAGACTTGTACATGGTGCAGAAGTTCTCAATAAATATAAGCTGTTATGATAAATACTTTAGAGCCTCTTTGGGGTCAGCCCTCCCTCTCTGCCTCCTTGCAGTTTGATCCACTTATGGTCATAGACATTAAATCCTTTTGTTGGCTCCTCTTAGCAAGGGGTATGTATATAGGGAAGACATAAGGAAGTATAAAATGAATCTTTTTTAAAAAGTTTGTTTATTTTGAGAGAGCACACACAGGGGGAGCAGAGAGAGAGAATCCCAAGCAGGCTTCACGCTGTCAGCCCAGAGCTCAGGGGCTCCACCCCACAAACATGATCATGACCTGAGCCAGAATGAAGAGTTGGACACCCAATCCGCTAAGCCACCCAGCTGCCCCTAAAATCAATTTTGGTATCTAGTTTTTGATCCTACTATGGCTCCGTTGTGGGGCTTGACTTTATGTTAATAGTTCCCCATTGGGAATAGACCAGGTAAATACATGTGTTATGTTAGGAATTCTAGAGAATGGATTTTAAGTAATGGGAAAACTTTATAAATGATTTAAAAGTAATTTTGTTCTCCTTTTTATTACCCATTTTTAGAACAAATGGAGTAATTTCCTGCAAACTTTCCTTTTATCTTTCTTGAAAATAAAACAAGGCTGTTAGTATAAGTTATGAAACATTATTTGAGTTGACTCAAATGAATGTGCCATTTCTCAGGGGAATTTACGATTACTTCCCACAAATTTAAAAACCTTTTGAAACTTTCTGCACTGATGACTCAAATTCCTAATAAAACTCCAAAATTATCATGAATTTACTTTTAAGAAAAGCATCTCTTGAAAAGTGGTAGTAACCCTGATAAACAATGAAGCATTGAATCTGTGGTAGTATTTATCTCTTTTAATAATATTTCAAAGGAGTCTTCTTAAGACTTAGCATTGAATTAACTTGGTGACATTTGCCTTTCTGTTTACTTTGCCTTTCGAAGGCACAGTCTAAAATCTTTTCTAGTAATTTATTTACCTAATCTTTATTGTATTTTTGTTTGCTTGGGCACATGTCTTTTATTTGACAGCCTTTCATGATACTTAAGAAGCATGGGACCTGTGAGTAAACTGCATTTAAGATCAGTGTAATAGGAATTAGAAGATAACTGTCTTCTTATTGGTAGTTCTGAAGTTAACCTAATTTCATGAGTTACATTTATTTCTAGTGCAATTAAAAATTTATCTACTGAATTTTCACAAACTGAGCAGTGTTATCAGCAACAAAATGAAGAATTATATGCAAGAGGTGTTCTGTGATTGTAATAAGTCATCAGTCTGGTCAGTTAAGTTGCTGGAACCGATGAGATGATTCTCCTTGGAACCAGTGCTGTGCACCTGCTTCCACTCGTTCGTCCTCTCTTGCTTCCCAGAACCTTCTTCCGTCCACCCTGGTTCTCTCTGCTATCTTCACATTTCTCCAAAGACTCCTGCGTCCTCATCCATAAACACTGTCAGATCATGCCCAGCATTAAAAGTAATGAAATCTAAGCAGAAGTATCTACACTCTCCTTAAATCATGTTTAATTCCTCATTTTTCACCTAAACATTTTAAAATGTTAGGCTGCATTCCCATTTTTACTTTTTCACTTTCCTTTTGCTATTTACATTGCTTTTTATTTTAAAATTGTGGACTCTTTCAATTATATAGAAGTATTGAGAAATAAAATGGGCACTCACATAACTCACACAAATATATATTTTTTACAGAGAGCTTATGGTTGATCTCTGTCTTCTGGATTTTCTTCTATAATTAGGTCAGGCTTCTCATTGTAACTTCCTATCTCTTTGTCTCCATTTTTTTTCTTTTCTTTATCTCCTTATCTTTTTATGTTACTTATATATCATTTTACTTCACTTTTATCCATTTAGCCATAACCTCATCTGACTTTTAACATATTGAATTTTTTTTTTCAACGTTTATTTTATTTTTGGGACAGAGAGAGACAGAGCATGAACGGGGGAGGGGCAGAGAGAGAGGGAGACACAGAATCGGAAGCAGGCTCCAGGCTCTGAGCCATCAGCCCAGAGCCTGACGCAGGGCTCGAACTCACGGACCGCGAGATTGTGACCTGGCTGAAGTCCGACGCTTAACCGACTGCACCACCCAGGCGCCCCTAACATATTGAATTTTTAATTTTATTAGTAATATTTGTATTTCTAGAAACCATTTTTAATCTTTTGGAAATAGTTTATTCTATTCTTATATTTTCCACCTTTTTTAAGAAGCCACTTTCATCATTCTGTACTTTTATAGTCTCTTTGTGAAACATTTATTATTTAAAATTCTTAAGGTTCAGATACTTGTAGTGTCTTGACTATTTTACAGTAGGTAGATTGTATCCTCTGGTAATTTTTTATTGTGAGCGTATATTAATGAGCACATTGTCTGCATGAATCCTGTGCACCCTGGTATCGTGGCTTGAGAGTAGAGGGCAGGTTTACTTCAAATATACCTTATTAACACAATATTCCAAAGCTGAAGGTGTCATCTCTCACCCACTTAATCACTTTCTTCTTCTCCCTGTTTCCTTTATTTTAGTTGGTGGCAAGAAATCAAGAGATCCTTGATTCCTTATTTGCTTTCACACCCAGGTAGTCCAAAGCTCCATTGAGTTTGTTTTCTAAATATTCC